CTTCGATTTTTATACACAAATGGAAACAAAATTGGATCTTGCCCAATATACCTAATTAACCGTTAAAAGCAAAATTGTAATTGTCCGGAAATATTTATTGTTTTAACCACTAATTTAAACAAACAAATAATTATTTTCGATCGCTATATAGATGATGTATTTCCCTAATATCTAAATGTATTAGTAATGAATTCAGTGGACGTTTGTTTTCCACTAAACTAATAACACATGTCTTTTCTCTATAAAATTTTCTTTCTTATTCCTTTACCACAATCGCTAACATTATAAACTTTTTCAATAAAATAAGCTTATCGCTTTGTGGATAATGTGATTTACAAAGTGCCAAAATAATTTATAAAACATTGACTTGTTCAATTCTTTGGCTGTTAATCCCCTACAGCAGTTAACATGTAAATTTGCGTAAATGCACACTATGAACATTGTTTTTCTCATTCCTAAAATAGGTTAAATACGACATTTCAAGACAAAACTCGATTTCAAGTTGGAAGCTTTTCCTTGTAAAGGGCTGCTATTCTTTTAAAACTTAGAAAATTTTTTTAAAAATTTCATGCATAGTAGGCCTAATAATTTTCTAAGAGATAAAGTTGAATTTTGATGAATATTTGATAAAAAATGAAAAATAAAAATCGCAAAAGACGAAACGATCGGTGATGAAGAAAAAAACAGGGCAGATCTGGAACGGCTAATGTTTCATGTTGTTATTGGTTACATTTTACTCTTATGTTTTGTTTTATGCAATTTTAACGATAAAACCGGTATTGTGGGATCAAAAATATTTGTCTAAATTAAATTTAGACAAACCATATTTTGTAAACCGGATTGCAAACCGGGACGACACAACGTCTATCTATAACGTCTATAACCTGCATCCAAAATTTCTTGTAATCATTTTTTATTTAGTTTTTATAATATAATGTAATNCTTGGATTATTTCGAAATTATGTAAATCCTACCTTATATAGAGCTAAATTAATATAAAATTACTTAAATTAATATAAATGTTTTAGCTTACTATTAATAAAAATTAAGGTGGCTTAATGTATATCCAGCATAAATTGTTGGAGATATAGGCTGCTTCTTAAAATATACAGCTTATAACATATATCACAATTGAGAGTGCATTAGTTACAAGAAATATCGAAGAAAGCTTCACCAATTTCACCATAAAATGCATATATGGAATAATATGTATGTAAAAATGTATATTAAATTCTGGAAAGAATCCAAAGAGTAAATAAAAAAATTACTGAATGAAAATGAATTTGAAAAAGATCAAATCAAACTATCCAGTAAGATACAGGAATATAACAAAAAAGTGAACTGAATTAAAATCGTATGAAGATATAGGAAAATGAATTAATTTACATGCCAAGAGAGAAATTAATTCATCTCTAATAGAAATATTAAAAGAAGAATAATGATAAAAGCAACCTTCTGAAAACCGAAAATTTGTGCCCATAATGACAGAACGGTCAACACTATCGAATACTGATCATGGGTTAGAGCTGGAATGACGAACTTTCTCAATGGACTGGCCGCGTGGAGTTCTCTGAGTTTTAAAAAGAAAACTCGGAGATAACTCGAAAATTGTCTAATACCTATATAGGTATTAGAATTCTCCCAGAGAAGCCCTCTCGGGAGGTACATTCCTTGGCAGATCGCCCATGTTGTTGCGTCGCTTTATGTCATCAATCATATCAAATCAAATCATAAAAAATTAAGAAAGAATCAATTATATAAATGAAAAATGTTGTCCAAAAGCAATGTGATTAATCTTCCTTCATAGCTTTAAGCATTAGCACTGTCAATAAAATAACGCTAACATCTTTCATATCTACTGTAACTGCCAGCAGAGGAGTAAGAATAAAAAACAAATAAATAAACAACGCAATTTTAAAAATGGAGAATTTTGTAAGATTTCCGACACAATCGGTTCGTACAGTCTATCTGAAAATTTAAGACTGATGTTTTAATAAAAATATTATCAGTAAAATCTGGCAATCAACAATGGATTATTTAGTAGTGACTCTTAATGAATAAGTTTCATCAATTTATGATTAGACTATTATAGCGTTATTAGTGTTTCGAATTGAGTAACTATTGTTCGTTATTTTTGCATGTGAATGTTGAAAACGTTCTCGAAAAATTTATTCTAAAGTACGGATTTTAATTGAAACGAGAGAGAGAATAGTCATATAAAACCGAATATAGGTACGATAGGTAAAATATAGATAGATAGAAACATTATTTTTCATAATAAATTTACCACAAATTTTTTTTTCATATAATATTGTAGTATAGTAACGGCACAATGTGGTAGTCAATATTGTCGATTCATTACTACCACGTACATTGATAAAACTTTAATTTATAAATTAGCCTAAAACTTTTTAGATACGGTATGCTTTATGTGTTGTTCCAATTGTTGGCGAATCTGAACCACAATACAGTCAGATAGCATTGAAGATTAGAGGATAATATCCTGATCTATCCTTGAAAAATCATAAAAGTTTGACTCAAATTCAAATTTGGATACTTTAACGAAAACGGAAATTTTCGCAACGAAAACAGATGAATATTTCTTGTCTAGAATAAAAAATTTTTGAATGGCTTGAAAGTTATCCAGAAACTAAAATTTCATGTTGAATTTGTATTTATCCTGAAGAGCAATTTAATTTGAATAACTACTTAAACGAAAAATTTTATATTAATTAAAAGAGATCTCTTCTGAAACAAAACAGAAGCGCATTAAAAAACTATTGGACCACAAGAATTATTAATTCATAATCCTATTTTCATTTCCTAATCTCCATTAATCCCGTTTTCCGAGATTAAATATTTACAGGTTTGTGTAAATGAATTGTAAAGGGAAAAGACTTTTAACAGTGAAGCTAAAATTAAAATATACAAATCGGAAATGAAACTCCTTTTAATAATCTCAACTAAAGTTTTAATATAATATTCATTAGATAATCACTGTAAAATAGAGTAAATAAAATAAAATTTTAAAAATATACTTTCTAATACGTAAACTATCCTTTACTGCTCAAGATTGTTGAAATTTTTTACGAAAAATGCAAAGAATGTGTTTACAGTCTGCTGTAACTATTCCGAGTACTAGTTTCTGAATTCCATATTGTCAGTTGCCCGATAAAACAGACAAATCTATAATAAAACTTTGTATCAATAGAAATAGTTTTAAAACTTTATATTATTCGTCTATTTTAACGATTTTCTATGTGCTAAACAAAACTGTGTTATTTATGAGTGAAAATCTCTACTTTTCTTACAAAATATCACTAATGATAACTACCTTATAGTGATATTTTATGACATTCACAGGACTTAAACTTTTATAACCGTTTTAGTGTTATAAAAAGCTATCTTTATTGTTTTTATTTCTGTCATGTTGTATATTTTCTCTCCAATTCACTTCAGAAAATTCAATTGAGAAAGTTCAAGATTCATAAACATCAATAATATCGGAGATTTTGTTGTTTTGAGTCGTTTTATAATACCTTTACGGGGTTTTACAAAATATTGCAATATTGTAGCTGAATTTGAAACTTTTCATATTTTTGAAAATACAGAAACAAAATATGTTACATTCTTTTATACAGGACGAAAAATACGAAAAATAAATAAGTATAATAACTTTAAAAGATTTTTAAGGAAATTAAACAAAAATTACAAAATAATTTGTAAAAAGTGCTGATTATTCGGTGTTTTGTGAGTGATTGTATGTGACAAGCAGCTAAGTAAGCAAACTAATAACACAGTTCGTTTCATGTAAAACGAACTATACAGGTGTTACAAAAGTTTCCATACATACAAAGGTAAAATGTAACTTTATTCACAAAACATTAAAATGTTAGCATTAAGATTTGTGTCAGTGGATTGACAGAGTAATGCAATGGAACACATGAGTGTTTTGCCAATGGTATAACTTCTAGCAGTACTTCCTATGTGGGAACTAGATTCTGTTTAGATGAAGAAAACCCAGAACACTGCATGGTGGCCAGCATATTGGTCAGGCACGAACCAATGACCTACTACCAGTGATCAATGATTTTATTTATTCGGCCACTGGTGGGCTTGATTTTTGTCACTGGGAGACTTTTGGGACACCCTGTATTATTGGTTTGTTTATGTAACAACTTGTCGCCTAGACAAATCTTATATTTCAATAAGATTTCCAAAATTACAGAAAATTCTTTAGGAAACAGATTTTCAGAAGTACACTAGAATTTAAACAGAAACAGAATTTACAATAACAGAATCAATATTATTAAACGAGAAAGCTTTACAGGAATCTAAATAAAATTGATACAACTATTTATTAAAATATTCTAGTAAAATTAATTATATGTGCAATATTTTCCTTTTTAGGTAAAATAATAATAATAATAAAGGAGGAGGAAGGGTTGTCTGCTTTTGCAAACTTAGCCCCCTACGAAGAGAAAGGAGTCAAGAAAAGGTTGAAGGAAGGGTTCTGAAGGGAGAAGTATAAAGGAAAAGGGGAAAAGTAACGCTGAAAAAAGTTATTAGGACCTCAGAGCGCTGCATCGGAAATTATTAATAACCAAAATTACAAAAGTTGACAAGACCGTTATACAGTATTAACAATTACGAGGAATGGTCCGGTTACAGTAAAATGCAAAACCCATTACTTATGGGTAGGTATAAACTAACCTTGAACACTGCAATGTCACAATAACATTAAGAACAGATTACAATTTTAACACGCAGAGAGAATGTAAATATCAGCTTACTATGATATAATAATACAGATTACATGGTACGTGAGGACCGGATACATGTAAATGAAATTTTTTTTAATCTAGAATCTAAAACTAAACTAATACTAGACAACTAAACTATGTACAGAAGAATTCTACACGGCCGATCAATCAATCGCTGATAACATCGCTTTTCCGATTTTTCACTATCTTCCTGCTCGTCTGTTCTTGTTTTCATTCTCAAGAATTTTTTCTTTCCTGTAGAAGTCTGGCAGCCCTGGTGCTTTCAATAAACCTTTCAAAACACTTCCAGAGATTTTTCTTATCAAAAATGTTTTGTAGTGTCGGTGGCCAATTATGACCTTCTTGAAGGCATTCCCTATGGAATGGAATGCGTTGATCCTCATATCGTTCACAGTGGAATATAAAATGAATGGCATCTCCTACACTATTATTGTCGCACCGGCATTTATCAGTATTTCTCTTCTTGAAGCGGTAGAGGTAGGCCATAAAATTGCCGTGCCCCGTTAAACATTGGGTGGTTTCGGATCTAGGTTTGTAGTAATTAGCCTTGATGCGATTAGTAATAGAGGGAATAAACTGGTGGCAAAGTCTCCCCGTTGTAGAATTATTCCAATTTTCCTGCCATTCAAGTAGTGCCCATTCGTTTAAGTAATTTTTCAGTGTTGATTTTGGTAACGTGGTATATGTATCCTGTGTCTTGAGAGTACCAGCCATTTTGGCCAAAGAATCGGCCAGTTCGTTTCCTTTATGACCTTTATGAGCTGGTATCCAACTGAATTGAATATTGCGGGTAGTACTGAGATATTGTGCTACTTTAATAACTTCTTCGCCCAGTAGCGTGATGTTTTCAGTTTTTGCCAAGACATGAAGGACTACCTTACTGTCAATAAGGAATTTTATGTTACCTTTGTATTTATTTAAGTTATCTTTTATTTGGGTGATTGCTTTGTACGTGGCCCATAGTTCAGCTTGCGTAATGCTACAATGTTTAGCAAGTTTTAATCTGGCCTGATATATTGTCTTATTGTTGTTGTTGTTTTGAATGCACACACCAGCTCCCACTCCGCACTCTTGCTTAGAACCATCTGTGTACACTATCCACTGAAAGTATCTGTTTGTTTCGGGATTATAATCGAAATTTATTTCGTAGCTGTGCAGTCTGCTGGGTGTAGTTAGAGGCATATATCATTACTAGTTCTATCAATTTCATATTTTTTAATAATATCAGGTATATTCCAGTAGCTGTTTGAAATCATTTTATTTTTAATACGTTTTTCAATATCCTCCTGTATGTAACTGTGTAGCCGAATATTAGTGCAGAGCCAATTCCAAACTGTTTTTCTTGCCGTGATATGTATTGGCATTAGTCCAGCCAGTAACAGTATTGCATCTGTCATTGCTGTTTCATAAGCACGAGTAATCCTTATTGCTGCTCTTCTCTGTATCGACAGTAATTTTTGCAAACATGTGTGATGTTAAGTGCGTCTTGCCATACAGGGACAGCGTATAAAATAGCTGGCTCAATTGCCATCTTATAAATTAATTTGCTGTTTGTAAAGTTTATTCCCCAGTGTTTTCCAATAATCCAATTGAGGAGGTTAGCTCTTTGACTCGTTTTCTTGCTAATTTCACTCACATGATGGTGCCAACTGAGCGTTGGGTCAAAGAATATTCCATGGTATTTCAAAACTTTCACCTGTTTAATTCTGTTATTATCCATACGAAGTTTAAGGGTTTTTTTGTAACTGTCCACGTTTATTTTTTCGAGTACACACCATTGCTTCACACTTTGCATAGTTAATTGGGAGCATCTGTTCCTTGATCCATTGCAGTGTTTTGTGAAGTGTTCCATTAGCTTCATCGTAAAAAGAATTTTTATGTTACTTAGACTTTATACCTATCATATCACGTTGGTTTTAATTTTAAAATTTAAATATAAGTAATGAATGCGTGGCGTTACTTTAATAAGTCAAGAATGATAGATTAGTGCCGTATACAAATTATAATGTTACACTGAAATTTTGTGGTAGTAGTATGCAAAGGATAAAGTTATATTGTTGACGGACAAATGTAAATTTAGAATGCTTATATATCTGTATTTCATAGAGCTGTTATAGAAGAAAAATAACAGAAATACTGAATTAATATTGTATTAATTCAGTATTCAACTGAATTAGTATTGTATTAATTCAGTTAAGATTGAGTATAAAAAATTTATTAAAAATTTTAGTCTAGAATTAATAAAAGATTATTAATTCAACATTTATGCCATTGTTCTGGAACAGTGATATATTGTCTGAATGTAAATATCAAGAATAAGGATCTTATTTTTAAGAAGAAACTTTGCCAGAAAAAGAACTGCATGAATATTAGCTACAGAAAATCCAGCAACGAGTTGCTAAACTTTCCTTACAACATTTAAAACTGTGTGGCGTCATCTGTTATATTTTATTTAAAAAACCTGTTTATATTTTTAACTATTATAAAATGGCAAAAAGCATAATTTTGAGTGTAGGAATGGGTTTTATAAAAAAAATTTCAATGCTAATAACAAGTAAAATCGTCATTAAGAATGGAGATACACATGATCTCCTTTATCTTCCCACTCCTCAACTTAAAATCATGGAAATTTAATAGCATCTATCCCCCTAATAAACATACTTTCCTTCGAAATTTCAGAAATTTTCGACAAAAGGCACAGGAGTTATTAAGCGTCAAAGAAAGTGAACAAAATCGTGCCCCCCCCTACACACATATACACATTAACATCCATGCAAACAGGACTTATTCCCAATTTTTTTTTTTTTTTTTGCATTTCTCGACGTTTTAAAATCTCCGAGTCCAAAAATGTAAAAATATTGAGGGTTATGTTTTGAGTTATCGTCATACTTTTCCTCTGTTAAATATAACAGCCGGGAAAGTAATAAATTATATAATAGAAACATTTAATTTCCTAGCTGAAGTAGTGAAAATATTTTGAATAATCGTTGCGGTTCTAAACGAATTATTTTTGGATTTAATAACTAGAATGTTCTTTTTCTTTTTTTACCCAGAATAGATTTGGTAAAAGAGTAATTTTTATTTATTTTTGTAACTTTTGCAGAATTTACAAACTGTTTTTAAGTTATTGTAACATTTAAACACATCACTTTTTTCTTATAATTGCTAATAATTAGTCCTGAAATTTTAAAATTGCTGAATTATTATTCCCTTACTTTTGGGAGTTTGAGAGAAAAATAAAAATTATCAAAACAGAAAGAAGCAAATAAATAAATACGATACTAAGAACAATTGAAAGATATGTTAATTAATAAAATATTTAAAATATTTTGAAACCAAATTTAAACTGAACTTTAAATGAAAACATTTCAGCAACGAGTTGCTTAACTTTCCCCGAAACAAATGAAACTGCGTATGGCGCCATCTGTTATGATGTTTTATTAGTTTTACAAAGGAATAAATTGGCAATTGGGATCATACATTTGCCTGTTTCTATGCTAATTTAGCGAATCACATATTGTCCATGACAAAGGAAATAAGCAGTTACCACCACAATGCTTCAGCCCAAATTCTCCTAAATAATTTAATAAAAAATATTTTTGTTAATTTTAAATAACAATATTAATATATTATTTATATCCTTAGTTCACTTTCTTCAGTAACCTTTGTGTACTTTGTAGTAATTCTATATTTCTAAATAATTCTTTGTAATGATAATTTTATTTTATTTATAATTCATTCCTTATTTTACGTTTCAATTAATATTCCTGTAAGAGTTTTTCTATATAGTCTAATAACGACTTAAGATACTATCAACCAGAGTGCTAGTTGTGTATGTATGCTGTATGACATTTCCGTTTCACTTGTGTCCGAACACCAATTGTATAAAGTCGACCACCCTATAACATGGTAGATACGTTCCGTTCTTTATGAAATTGATGTTCTACGAGTCCTTAAATACATGAGCCAATCACAGCCCGGCACGCATGCAGTTTACGGACTACGGCTGTTTGAAAGGTTTTCTTCCATAAAATTAATCGATTCTAGACTAATTCGACTTAACATTTCCAAAGCACGTATAATTTTTTGGGAGTAATCCGTATAAACTATGCTATAAACAAAAAATTGTAGGATTACTTACCGAGTGTGCACCGTTCGACGACGCCATTGCTTAAGCTTGTTTTCGTCGTGGAGCGGCGCATCGAACGGGGGCGTGCATGTTTCCTGATAAATTATTTTTCTGCGAAAAATTTGCTAAACTTTGGAGATATCATTAATATAAATATAATTTTTATGGACGTTAAATAATAAATGGTTTTTAGTAGGTCCGCTGCTGGTTTAAACTCAACGGTTTGTGCAATATCCGCTATTGGTCTAGATTCGACCAATCCCGTCGAGACACCAGTCGGCGATGACGTTTTACCATTATATAGGAGGCTCTTTTAGCGTGTTTATACGAATACGGTCGCAATTTTTTCGCCGTTATATACGAATCCAAATTATATGAACCCGTTACTGTACATTAAATTATTGCAAAATGTAAAATTTTCGATATAAATGAATTTTAGTTTTTATATTTTATATCCGTGCTTTATTTTCTTTTTATGTTTTCTGTGATCAATAAATTACATTTATTTCTTATTGTCTTTAATATATTCCATTTATTCTACTATTTATATATAAATCAACAACAAAAAAATAATTAATAAAATGTAAACTAAGATTATTTTATCCATTTATTTAAGAAGTGAGTTAGATTATTAAAACAGACTGTTAAAATAAAAATGCCTGAAATCATTTGAAACTTTCAAACCATGAAAGAAATTCTTAAAGACAATTCTTCAAAAACAAATAAGAAAAAAGTGTAATATGTGCTTTTTGATATTTGTTTCCATTTTTCAAATTTGTCAGTTGCCATCTCATTTCAAAAATTTTACGTTTCATCTAAGGAAATATGAACACTCAATCGAAAGCAAAACTTATCTGATATTAAAATTACATATGCCAAGCAGAGATGATTTTTGACAAATAAAAACAAAATAATAAGAATAGTTTTACTTCACTTTTGCCTAACTTATCAGATTTGATATAAAATATTTAAGCTTAGTTTTTATTGTTTTGAATAAAATTTTACAGCATATAACTTATATCAAAATCGTTTTAATATTGATGAATCATATTCTTTGACAAAATAACGGTTTTGATTTTAAATTAATTTATAAAGCAATCAATAATAATATAATTTCATAGAATGGCTAACAATTTAATAATTGTAGATTATAAAAATACATTTAAAATCCTGAGAAGTAGAGAAACAATACGACGCTTTGATAATTAGTATCATACTCATGATCAGTTTAACAAGTATCACAAATTAAAATTATATAAACTGTATAAAATATAAAAAATATACTTATAACTATTATAATATTATCTTTTATCGTTAGAAAATTTGTAATGATTTTTTTGAAAATAGCGATTATAATAATTTATTTTTAAAATGTTTGTTTTCCATATGTCATTGTACTGCTCGTTAACCTTTCACATTTAACTCTATATAAAATTCACAAAAAACAATTTTATATTATATATTCAAATTTTATGAAAATAAAAAAAAATTCATACAAATAAAGAAATAAGCGTATATACAGTAAGATTTTTGTCTGTTTTGACACTTTTTTAAAATAAAATGATTAAAATGAATTTTTTTTTATAATTTATATTAATTAACTTCATTTTGTCTAAAACTATTAGTAAACAATAAAAATTTATAAAAATATCTTCGAATAAAAGTTACGAGATAATTCTTGTGCTAAATTATGTTGTTCTGAAATTATTCCTTTAATAAAATAAGTAAATTTTGTCAAAAGTAAACTTCTAAAAACGTGATAAATGAACCATTGTATTATAATTAAGGTAATAATCTACTATTAAGAGGCAAGTTTAATAATAAATTAAGTAATACTTCGATAAGAGAAAATACTAGAAAAATTTATTTTGGAATTAAATCATGAAAAAATTTGTCTGAAATTTGTGGAAATATAGTCTATTATTGCATCTGTCTGTTACAATGAAGACTCTATACGAATAACTACGAAAAACTTTAAAATAACATTGAAGAGATCATTATTTGATTGATTGAACTTCTTTAAGAATTTATACTGAGCTGCTTCTGTCAGCAG